TTCCACAAAAAATCATTGTCATCAGTTGGGGTGTAATGAAATAGCATGATGAAAATGGTAATGTTGTGGTTCTGTTCTTGCTTGTAGCTACCGAAGGTGGAAGCTGGGAGATGATATTGACCTCATAGTACGTTGTGAACATGATGGAGTGATGACTGGAGCTAATGGAGAAGTGTCATTCATCAACATTAAAACTCTGAATGAATGGGATTCAAGGGTAAGAAGAATCAGATAATAAAAGTGTAAATCTTTGTACTTTGTTGGATGATCTAGTAGATAAAGCACAGAACTAGTTCATATGCATGTTATGTCACAGACTCAACCAGAAAAGCATGAGGCAGAATTTTCCAGATTTACATTATTTGTGCTGGACAGATTTGATTGCTCATTAACTTCTTTTCCCCAGTCTCATTCAATATAAGGGAGTCAACTGAAATGTTAACTTCTCTTTCCCTTGTTAGCGATCAAAGAAAATTTCTAGATCCACATTAATTAAACTCCTGTTACATTATTTATGATCCTGGCTTCATTTTATTTCAAGGATTATAAGCCATTTTGAAATAAATACAATTACATTTCATTTTCAGTTTTATATTAACATATTAATTTGGTACAGTATGGCACACGTAGTACTGCATAAAGTTCTAATTTATATGCCTCCTTTTCCAGCATTGTAATGGTGTAGACTGGCGTCAGAAACTAGACTCTCAGAGGGGAGCTGTGATTGCCACTGAACTGAAAAACAATAGCTACAAACTAGCCCGTTGGACATGTTGTGCATTGTTGGCTGGATCAGAGTATCTTAAACTGGGGTAAGACCAAGTGCACTGTCAAATACAAAGGAATGGGAGGGGTTGTTTTGTTTTGGCTGATGTTTAGGTACTCAAGAAGAGGGAAGAAAATCTTCATGAAGCAAACCAGATCTTTATGGCTAGTTCTTGAATTGTAGCAAAACATCTAAAATTGCCAAACAGAAGGCTAAATTCTAAAATCTAGGTTTACATTTGCCCCTTCAAGTTCATGGACTTGAAATCCACGGACTTGGAAGTCCGTGGAGGGGCAACCACCATTAGCTCGAATGGGGTGTGCATGCAGGGGCGTGCTCCATTCAAACCAATGGGGTTTGAATATATGTGACCCTCATAACTCATGGGGGGGTTCGGAATGGATCCCCCGCAAGTTATGAGGGACAACTGTATTTCATTGATGAGAGACAACATGTAAATAGATGTTAAAAAAGAAATGCATTATGGTATGCTTGACATTCCTTAATACAGACCTTATTATTTCTTGAACGTGTTCGTGCTAATGCCATGATATGGCTGCTTCTCTGAAACAAAAAGTAGTTTGGTGGTTGTTTATCATGCAGTTTATCAATTGCCCTGTATTACAATAATACTGAGCCAGTGTGTATGAATGTTGGACTATTAATTCTGGGATAACAGGATTCAAATCCTGTTCAGCTGTGGAAACACACTCTCAGCCTCAGAGACATAAAAAAAAACCCTCTGAAGAAACTTGTCCAAAAAAAAAACATAAGTTTGTCTTAGGGCTGCCATAAGTCAGAAACAATTTGAAGGCACATAAAAACAACAAACTACCTAGTAAAATAATGGAATCTACTATCATTCAGAACTAGAACCTTGGAATTTCCCCTCTATACGTATGCAAAGGGATCTTGTAGCACCTTTGAGACTAACTGAAAGAGAGAAGCTGGTAGCATGAGCTTTTGTAGACTTGAGCCTACTTCCTCAGATGTGTGCACACATCTGAAGAAGTAGGCTCAAATCTACAGAAGCTCATGCTACCAGTTTCTTTCATCTAGTCTCAACATTGCTTTGCATACTGATTTTCCAGGTTAGCACAGCTATGTCTGAAGTCTATACAATAGAAATAAAAATAAAAACCAATCCTATAAAACAGGAGATACATTTATTTAATACATAGGTGAGCATTTCCTGACTCTCGTTTCTCTTCCCTTATCAGGTATGTATCCCGGTATCATGTGAAAGATTCTGCACGGCATGTGATCCTGGGTACACAGCAGTTCAAACCAAATGAATTTGCCAGCCAAATTAATTTAAGTATGGAGAATGCCTGGGGCATCCTGCGCTGCGTCATTGACATCTGCATGAAATTAGATGAGGGCAAGTACCTCATTTTGAAAGACCCCAATAAGCAGGTCATTCGTGTCTACAGCCTGCCAGATGGCACCTTCAGCTCTGATGAAGAAGATGATGATGAAGAGGAGGAGGAAGAGGAAGAAGGTAATGTTCTTAACTGTCCATAGGCTGCTGAATCACGACAGTGTACTAATACAGTTTAGAGTAGAAATTAGGTCAACCAGTGCCCTCTAGGTGTTTTAAATGATAGCATCCATAATGCCTCCCAACTGGCCATGCTGACTAAACTTATGAAAGTTAGAGCCCAAAACATCTGGAGGTCACCAGGTTGCCTGCCTCTTCAGAGGTGTCAAGACTCAAAACGTATAAAAGGTAGCTAAGCTGTTGCTCAGGATGCTGTATGTACCATTGCACAAGCAGTACAAGTGACAATGTAGAGCTGGGCAGAACTTCAACATAATATCTAGTTAATATTGGTCAGTGCTGAAAATACTGTAGGAAAAGGATTATTGTAGTTTTGTCCTATTTTCTTGTGATCTGTTTGACAATTATTGTTTCTGCAGATGTATTTATACCTTGTTACAGAGTAGCAGTTTCTGAAAGGGTTTCCTCAAACATTGCTTAGATAATCAAAACCTGTATTGTTGAAATTAAAACTTAAATTTGCATGTTTGACTGAAACTTGTTAAAACAGACTTTCTGTTATGCAGAAGTTAATGATCTGTACAGGGATAAGCATTTGGTGTTTTGTAACTGAACATTATGGCCACGTTCTTGGTGGCAGCCTCACTTGGAATAGTATAACATGTTGAATTCAATTTCTCTTTGTGTTGCAGAGGAAGAGAGCTAAATGTTGTAGCCAGACAGCAGTGACACCAGCCTTGAAGGAATATTCAACTTTGTATTGTTCTTAGATGGATCAAAGCTGAATCTGCACTTCATTCACTACAGCCCCAAGGAAAATTAAATAAATAAAAGATTAATCAGTTTTTTCCCTTTCGTTCAATTGCTAAATATTTGTAGTGAGTGACAGATCTAGTGGTGGACAACGTATAAAGTTGCCATAGAAAAAAAATCTCATGATTATTCGATCAACCCTCTCCATTTTAGGCTGGAAGTGCACCAGAATAATATAACAGCTTTGCAAACACTGAACAGCTTTTACATAAAGTAGAGAATAACCTGATTTAAATACTTCTCGTGGGAAGAAAAGAGAATAGAAACCAGCCATGTCAGTAGCAAATAAATTTCTATACTGCTTACTGATGTACTAAGCAGTTTACAAAGTGTAAGCTAATGTTGCAGAGGAAGCTAGACTAGAATCATTTTCTAGACCAAAGTCTTTCTCCACCTCCTTCCTTCCTTCCTGGGGAAACAGTACTGACCAGTAATCTGGTGGTACAGTCTAAGAAAAGTCCTGCAAGATTCAGTCGCAAGCGTCTATTGGTTCTTAATATGTGGGTAATCACAACAATTGTTTATTGGCTATTTGTAACTCTCCTCCCTAACTTGTCCAGTTGGGATGTTTCAAAGTATCTTTTTAAATATTCAGTTACTAAGGAGAGATGGGAATGTACAGGGTGTCTGAAAATTATTTTTACAATTTTAATTCTATATAGAATTGAAATTGCTAAGATAATTTTCAGACATGCTGTATACAACTGTAAGAAGTTTGACGCAGGTTTATATAATGTGCGATCTGGAATAATAAGGCAGTGGAAAATATTCCTAGCAAAGCAGCTGCTCTGAAATCTTAGGAATAATGGGCTATCCATTAAAAAGATAGGAAGCAACTTCTGTCTTTTCAGATGCATTCAAGCTAATGTCATTTGCTTGGAATAGTGGCTGCTGCTTGTCTTATCCACATGCAGAAGTATTCAGATAGAAAATACTAGGCTTTCCCCCATTATAAGGGAAAATTAAAGCTCAGCTTATGTATTCAGTTGATGCCATTTGTAACTTGTCCCACAGCCAAAAGCATACCTTGGATTGAAGCCACACACAGGAACCAACTGTCTGTCAATTAAATGAATATCTGTGCTGCAGTGCCAGAGGGTTATTACTTGAACCTCTGTATGATGCTCATTAATAGCCTTGGCAAACGGAACTGGCAAGATGAGGGTACTGCAGGGTTTTCTCTAATCATATTCCAACAACTCCCATGTGGATTTGCCTCTGTGCGGCTGCTGCAGCAAGGAGAATGTGTAAAAGACAAGTTCCATAAAAAGAACAGGGTGTTCTTTCATTATCAGGAGGTTAGCTATCTGCTGCAGCAGATCTAGTTCTTTATTGTCTTAGATCCTTAAAGTGATAAAATAATAAGCCATTTCACCTGTCACTTGAATTATTCTGCTGCACCACTGCTATTTTAGCAATGCATAGCAGTCAGGCAATGCACTGCTGGTTAGTTTTACACTAGCAAAGCTCATTTTAGTCATCTCTTAGTGAAGGAGCGGGTGGGCAATTATTCTCCACCTGGGAGAACTGTACATCTCCCTCACCCCAAATAAATTTGCAGAAACAAATGGGGCTGAAATTCACACTTGAGTATCTTCTAGGGCCAATTGCTCCATGTTTTGGATGTTTTCTCAAAGCTGTTGCATCTGAACACAAGAAGAAAATGGGAGAAGGAATCTAGCAGAAACTTTGATATATTTAGGCATATACTTTTGTGGACTCCAGCTCACTTGCATCTGAAGGTGGAGCCCAAAAAAATTTACACTGAAAGCGTGCTGCTAGTCTCTTCCTCTCTTGTTATCCATGAAGAGTTGGATTAATTTTAATTTTGGAATAACATCTGCCTTACACCCAGCAGAAGCCTTTTTTTCAAACAATGACTAGAAGTCACTTTTCTTTTAGGAAAAAGCATCCCTCCCAGCCACTGTGGCGTAATGGTTTGGTGCTTGACTACATCTGTGGAGACCAGGGTTCAAATCCCTGCTGAGTCATTAAACCCCTGGGGTGACCTTGGGCAAGTCACATTCTCTCAGCCTCAAAGGATGGCAATGACAAACCCCCACTGAAGAAATTTGCCAAGAAAACCCCATAATAGAGTTGCCACAACTTGAAGGTACACAACAGCCTCAAACATTGGATGGAGAGGGCAACAACAAAATGTGAAATTACTTCCATGGTTTCTAGAGGACAACGAGGAGATTTTTTGAGCAGTTTTTAAAAAAATCATGGGCCACACATTTCCTGCTTCATTGTGATTGCTTCCTTGGGAGAAAACCTCATTGGTGGGATGTCAAAATTAATGTGCATAACTATGTATTACTTTGGAGAATGAATACATTCAGCAAGCAACTGGTAGCAGTGATTGAACGCATAGCATCATTCTTACATTATTTCTTCTACTTCTCAAGGTGGTTCTTGGCCTATATTCACTTTACACTAGATTTGCCCACTAAATAGTTAATCCTACTACAGGGATGGGCTGAAGGAAAATCATAGTCTTCTAGTAGCTTTCTGGAGCATAGAATCATTTTGGAGGAAACCACAAGGCCTGTCCAGTCCAACCCCCCTGCCATGCAGGAACTCACAATCAAAGCACCCCAACAGATGGCCACAGCCCTGGTGGCGCAGTGGTTAAATGCCTGTACTGCAGACACTCACTCATAGACCATAAGGTTGCAAGTTCAATACTAGCCAGGGCTCAGGCTAGACTCAGGACTGCATCCTTCCGAGGTCGCTAAAATGAGTACCCAACTGTTGGGGGGCAATGAGCTTACAGTTGTAAACTGCTTAGACATCCCATAGTGCGATATGAAGCAGTATATAAATGAAGCTGCTTTGGTTAAAGACCTCCAAAGAAGGAAACTACCAAATTTGGAAGGAGTGTCTTCCACTGTTGAAGCTCTTGCCATCAAAAAGTTCTTAATGTTTAGGCGAAATCTTTTCCTTTACAGTTGGCCTTTGCCCACGGATTCAAGCATCCACGATTTGAAAATATTTTTAAAATAGACAAATTCCAATAAGCAAACCTTGGTTTTGCCATTTTATATAAGGGACACCATTTTAATATCCACTGTATTTAATGGGACTTGAGCATCCACAAACTTTGATATCCATGGGGGGGGGGGTTCCTGGAACCAAACCCCAGTGGATACCAAGGGCCCATTGTAGTTTGAATCCATTGCTCTGGGTGTTTTCTCTGCAGCAGCGGAGAACAAGCTTGCTTCATCCTGATGATTTGCAATATATTGACAAAAACACTATTCTTCACAAAAAAAAACACATTATTTTACCTTACATTATTTCTTCCCTGGACAGCCTAGCCTCTAGTCAGTTCTGATACACAAATATTGGTGAGTTCAAGATTCCTTCCATTGTAACTGAAAACCTTGAGGTGCTAGTTTAAAAAAAACTTAGACTAAAAACCAATTTTATCCTGCCTTATAAAATACTTGCTACTACAGTAGCTAAATGACAGGCGCAGTTCTGCCCCTGCCTATTTTTAAAAATGATCCTATTCACCTGCTTCCCATAGCTTTATGAGCTAAAACTGGCCCTTGGGAATTTTAAATTCTAAATACAAGGGATTCTCGGGTCACATTTGAGCACAGATAGTGTGAATCTACCAGGTAGTCCAGTCAATTGAATAAATATACAGTGGGCCCTTGGAAGCTATTGGGGTTGCGGGTCCAGGACCCCCACATGGATACCAAAATCCATGGATGCTCAGATCCTATTAAATACAATGGCACAGAGAAATAATGGTGTCCCTTGTATAAAATGGCAAAATCAAGGTGTGCTTTTTTATGTCTTTAAACTATTGTTAGGCCATGGATGGTTAAAGCCATGGATAAAGAATCTGTGGATAGGAAGGGCTGATTATAATAGCATAAAACCAATTTACAAATTGTTCCAGAGTTAGCAGACTCTGGAGACTAGGTTTCGATTCCTCTCTCAGCCTCGGGAAGGCAATGGCAAACCTCCTCTGAACAAAACTTGCCAAGAAAACCTCATGAAAAGGTCGCCATTAAGTCGGAAATGACTTGAAGGCACACAACACACACAAGTCTTGGTCTCTCCAGGTGTTTGGACTACAATAATATGGGGCATAATAGAAGGAGTTTCTGAGAGTGGAAGTCCAAAAGTATCTGGAGGCTCAAAAGCTGCTGACTTCCTGGGCTTTCCTCAGCTTTCATCCTGCCGGTTTTATTTCATGGAAGGTCCATATTTCAGCTCCTATCCTTTGCCTCACTCCACTGGAATAGTCTTAAATACATATATTTAAGGCTTAAATATTTGCATTTAAGACTACTGCAGTAGGGTGAGAGAGTGAGTGAGGCAAAGGTAGGCAGGCGTACAAAACACATGTATAATCTCGTCCCTCCACAGGCGCTGGGTTAGGGGTGAAGGACCCCGTGAATGTGGAAAAATCGCGAATAACAAAAACACTTATGTTTTTAGCTGAGAGAACACCTCTCTAGGAATCTCTAGGTCCTCCAGTGCAACTCTGTGGCCAACATCTGCCAGACATTAACCATAGAGTTGCACTGGAGGAGCTACAAATGCCTAGTGGAGTGTTCTCTCTAGGAATCTCTAGGTCTAGGCCCTTCGTGTGACTTTTGGTTAAAGTTGACCACAGAGTTGCACTGGAGGACTTAGATATTCCTAGAGAGAACATATGAATAAAATCTGTGAATAAACAAATCCGCAAAAGTCAAAGCTACAAATGTGGAGGGACGAGTGTACAAGTAAGGAGGGGGGCTGGGGCTGGGCTATATCTGAGCATTGGACTATGACTGGAGGCCAGGGTTTGAATCCCCACTCAGCCATGGAAACCCACTGGGTGGCCTTGGGCAAGTCACACTCTCTCAGCCTCAGAGGGTGACCATAATGGCCAACTTCCTCTGAAGAAACTTGCCAAGAAAACCCCCATGATAAGGCCACCTTAGGGTAGCCATAACTCAAAAACGACTTGAAGGCATACTGCAACAGCGGGGGAGGTTGGCGGTATGCAGGAAGAAGTGTGAGGGGCTACACACCTACCCTACAGAAACAATCCAGTTTGACACCGCTTTAACTGCTAACGCTCAATGCTACAGGATTCTGGGATTTGTAGTTTTGTGAGATTTTTAACCTTCTCTCATGTCTGATCTGCACTGCAGAAATAATCCAGTTTGACACCGCTTTATTTTTTATATTGTTATTTATTTATTTATTTTAATAATTTATTTGTTTTTAAAAAAATTCCAAGTTTAATTCTGTTTTAAGGGGTTTGGGAGGGATAAGGGGGGAGGGATTGGGGAAGTGGATTGTTTAACTGCTGTATTTTAATTGTTGTAAGCCGCCCCGATTGCTAAGCAGAGGGGCGGGGTAGAAATAAAATTTATTATTATTATTATTATTATTATTATTATTATTATTATTATTATTATTATTATTATTTAACTGCCACGGCTCAATGCTACGGAATTCTGGGATCTGTAGTTTTGTGAGATATTTAGCCTTTTCTGACAGGGAGCTCTGGTGCCACAACAGACTACAAACCCCCGGATTCCATAGCATAGAACCATGGCCGTTAAAGCGGTATAATGCATTAAAAAGTTAAAGAGAAGAGCTTCCTAGGAGTCACGTGACACCTCTCTCACCCACTGGCTTGTATTAGGCGGAAGTGGTGCCGCTCTAGCACATGCGACTCGTTGCGTTCCTTTTTTCCCCAAGCCGGTTTGTTGTCGGAGGACCCGAAGGAGCCGCGTCTCTATGGTGACGGTCCGCCTTGCGGCGGCGCTGCTGTTGCTATTGCTCCAGGGCAGCCGGGCGAGAGCGAGACCTACCTGACAGCTTCGCTACCGCCGGATGCCCCAGGTACGTCAGCGCGTCACGCAGGCGGCTGCCCGTCTCGCCCTGTTTTCCCATTGGGCAGAGGGAGAGGGAGAAGGGGGCGGGCTTTGGTTGCCATGGGGGTCCCTTTGGTTGCCACGTTGGTCGCCTTGGGGGTCTATGGTTGCCACAGGGGAAGCTTTGGTTGCCATGTTGGTTGCCATGGGGGAGATCTCTTTGGGAAATGATGGAGGAGTCAACCAATTTCCATCCAGGGTGACCATAGGTCAGGGGTAGGCAACCTTTCCCCTTTAAGGGCCGAGGGACTTCAGCTCCCAGAATCCCAGGAGCTATTGGCCAACATGGCTGAGGCTTCTGGGAGCTGAAGTCCCTCGGCCCTTAAAGAGGAAAGGTTGCCTACCCCTGGCCTACATAGATATCCCTCCGTACCATGTTAACTGAGAACAACTACAGTAGAACAATATCTTGACAAAATAGAGGCATATGCCTTTTGTTGTTAACTGCCCTTGAGTTGATCTCATCTCAAGCCAACCCTATGGATGAGACATCTCCAAGACCCTCTGTCCTCCACTGCTCTGCTTAATTCCCGCAACCCCTTAATACCCAAAGTGATTCCTTAATAGAGTCCATCCATCTGGCATGTGGCCTTCCTCTCTTCCTACCTCCCTCCACCTTTCCCAGCATTATTGTCTTTTCCAAAGAGTCCTTCCTTCTCATGATGTGTCCAAAGTACGACAGCCTCAGTTTGGTCATCTTTGCTTCCAAGGAGGTTTCCTGTTTGATCTGCTCTAGGACTCACTTGTTTGTCCTTTTGGCTGTCCATGGGATGCTCAGCACTCTTCTCCAGCACCACATCTCAAAGGAATTGATTTTCTTCCTATCATCTTTCTTAACTGTCCAGCTCTCACATCCATCCATGGTAATAGGGATTACAGTGGCTTGTATGATTTTAGCTTTTGTGCTGAGTTGTACAGTCAGCCCTCCGTTTTCATGGGTGGATCCATTCTGGAGCACCACCCCCACGAAAATGGAGATTTGCCGATATTCAAGTCCCATAGGCCTGAATGGGATGCACTCCATTGATCTTAATGGAGTTCACCCCTCCATGAAGATTCAAAACCGTGGATCTCAAGTCCGCAAGAACAGAGGGGCGACT